TGAACAAATACAAATGTTATAAGAACATGACAAAAAGGCTTTTCAACTTTACTTAAATAGGTATTACTCTTCTGCTCCATCTGCCAATGTATTATTTTTTGATAACACTTAACTTACCACTACACTAAACACACTTTTTAAAGGAGTGTGCCTCATCATCTGACAGACACCCCACAATGTCTAGCAAGAAAGACAAACTCAGTTACAGCTTATATAGCTAAGGTATCACAAACTACACATGTTGAAGTGATGCTGGCACATTAGCATCAAGGGAAAGAAGTCTCAACTACTAAAATGTGGAATAAGTAGCACTTCACAGCAGTTCAATTTCTTTTTTAAAATCAATTAGAAAATTAAATTAAGTAATTCTCAAAGATTGATTCCTCTAGAAAAGTGAACAGTTTCATGAAAACTGACCTATTATCTGGTCTGCTCATAGCACTTTGACATGTTCTTATTTAATTTGCTGCTGCAAAAGCTAAAGGAAAGAAAGTAAAACTTTATTAATCAGTCTAATTTACACATCAAGAGACACCACGACATCAAGAGACACCACGACATCAAGAGACACCACGACATCAAGAGACACCACGACATCAAGAGACACCACGACATCAAGAGACACCACGACATCAAGAGACACCACTATTTGTTTTAATATATGTGAATCTCTATAAGATCAGTCAAAACATGTGTTCCAGTTGAAAACATGGTCTTCCCAAACCAGCACCAGCTTTAAAGATGGAGATTTTTTTAGTGCAATACATAATAAATAAATACCATCAGAAGAGAGAGCAGTATTAACTTTCATTTAGCAAAATTGAAAAATTAAATGTAAATCAGTAAGAATTTAAACCCAATAGTGTCTCTTTTCAAAAGAAAATGAGGTATTTAGATGAGCATTTTTTGCATATCTTCAGGGTACATTGAGAAGAACTCTATCTCCACCTACTGGACCAGCTACAAACAGTAGCTGGAAAACAGCACAGGGGGACTGCAAACCCATCTATAGGAATATGCAACTCAGTTATATTAAAGATACTAATCTGACAGAAGTTTTTCTTCTCCTTGCTGTTAGCTCTCTACGTGCAATGTGTCTGAGGACATTATACTTCATTGTTTAATCTCACCTAAACCCGTTCTTAAGCTGTGTCCACAGCTAAAGACTACCTACCTACTAGTCAAAATACACTGCAATTGCTAACTGCTGTGTTCAAAATACTGAGGCTGAGCACATGAACTTTTATCCTTTTGGATTGTGCTGGATTTAAAGCAGTTTACAACTATCAACACAAAAAAATCTAACCTGGATTATCGTTGTTGTTTTGGTTGTTTGGGTTTGGTTTTTTTTTGTTTGGTTGGTTTTTTAGGGTTTGGTTGTTTGTTTTTTTTTTTTTAATTCCAGTGTACATGGGCACATCCATACTGGTTTCTCAAGTTGGATAAAATGCCAGCATTGTAAGTTTCATGTAAGCAAAAACAACTTCTCCCCTGGAATATTCTCCATTCTTTCCACCAACAGACAATATTCTGTTTCCCAAAAGACTGTGTGTATGTTTATACGTGTTCATTTAATTGCTCCTTCCCACACATCAAAAGAGCACACAAATGTGCCACTTCCTCCACATACGTGCCTTTTCTTTCTGTTCTGACAGTGAGATCACTCATTCACAAGTCGTCTTCATAACTGCCTATTGATCAAGTTTCTAGATCAGAATTTCCTAGGCTGTGTCTTCCACAATCACAGACCACAACCACAATCACTGAGATTATCAGCCTACTTCAACACCTGTTTCTGGCAGTCTCCCCATCTTTCTTCCCATCCCACAAAAAACCTAAAGTATGGATCAGAAACTGTTCTCTTCAGCACCATTTCTTCTGTGTCTCAGTCTCGGCTTAACAGGTTCATATGCACACATTACAGCAGGTACAAATACTCCTCAAGCAGCTCCCACAAAAGCTGAAAACTCATAAAGGGCTGCCACCTCCAAAACAGTTCACCCGCACCACTCCTGAGTTTGCCAACCGGCAAAGGAAGCAGGCTGTACCAATTCCGACCCCCAAGAAGCCCATTCATTACTCCTTCCCCTCAAGAAGCATTGAGACTCATTTTACAAGCACAAGTCAATCAGATCTCACTCATCCACAGAAACAGACATCGCATACACAGAGACCAACAAAACCATAGTGGGGGTGTAACACCATCGCTGCCTTCCCTTACCAGAAGAGTAAGCTAATGGACTAACCAAGCATAAAGGTGGTAATCACTATTCTAGCTAAGTAATAGTGGACCCGCTTATAAAATTAATCTTTCATCATATTAGTTTTGCCATGCACATTACCTCGGAGTCTCTTTTCCATAAGAAGTGAAGTAGAATTTATTACTTTCCATTATTTCCTTTATTTAGCCTCTTGCTTCTTCCCAAGCCTGTTTTCTTCCAGGATCCCCTTCTTCTCGCCACTCCACAAGTAACACCAACTAAGATACCACCTTAGTTACCCTCTAGTGCTCAGTCTTTGCTTTTCTTCTGAGTTTCTTCAATGGAAGAGATACCGTCCTTTTACCTAAATACTACACAACCCAACTCAAATCTTTCTTTAACTGTTATTATGCTTTGATATTTCAGGAAACAATCTACATTAAGTACTTAATTATTTACGTGAGTCTGCTTATGTTGTACAAATGTATATTCAAGAAATAGTCCGTGTAAGTCTGAAACACAATTACAGCAACCACTTTCCACCAGAGAGAACAAACATTCCTTTCAGCCTGCTTCCTCAAGTTCCCTGTAATGGTATGTCAACTATTCCACCTGTTTAAGTAATAAAAGTTTAAGTAATTAAACTCCCACTGTGAGTTTAGCCTCTAATCTATGTGAAATCTTTTTTAAGAGAAAGATCTGCCTGTTATGTGCCCTGACAGCACCATACTACCATAATTGCTCAAACTGTACAGAGTGTGCTAGAGTAATTGATGGAAACTACAATTTCAAGTTAGAACTTCTGTTAAGCCTCAGACAGGAGTGTTAACA